CATGAATTCTGCTCTCTATCAGAAAATCCTGAAGGAGAATGTCCGGCCGTCAGTTTGTGACCTCAAGCTCAAGCGCACTTGTGTTATGTAGCAGGACAATGATCCCAAACACACCAGCAAGTTCACCTCTGAATGGCTCAAGAAAAACTAAATTAAGGTTTTGGAGTGGCCAAGTCAAAGTCCGGACTTAAATCCGATTGAGATGCTTAAACAGTCCATTCATGCTCGAAAACCCTCCAATGTGGCTGAATTAAAACAATTCTGCAAAGAAGAGTGGGCCAAAATTCCTCCACAGCGATGTGAAAGACTCATTGCCAGTTATCGCAAACACTTAGACAGTTGTTGCTGCAAAGCGTGTCACAACCAGTTATTAGATTTAGGGGGCAATTACTTTTTCACGTAGGGCCAGGCAGGTTTGGACAGCTTTTTTCCCTTAATAAAATAAATAATCATTTAAAAACTGCATTTTGTACTTACTTGCATTATCTTTGTGTAATATTAAAATTTGTTTGATGATCTGAATCTTTTAAGTGTGACAAATATGCAAAAAAAATTAAAACAGGAAGGAGGCCAACACTTTTTCACACCACTGTAGAATAACATAAAATGTTGTTCAAAATATCTGCTTTTATGAGGGTATAAAAAGGTAAAATATCTTCTTTCATTGGTGTTACATGAGGGTAAATAAATTATAGAATTTTCATTTTCTGGTGAACTATTGCTTTAAGATGTTTTTCATTCTTTATCATTGTTTTTATTTAATTTTTTGGACTATGAAAGCATCTTTCACTCCATATTTGACCCAGTTAACTCCATATTGTGCTTTGAAATACTGTTATTGAACAATTCAAATTGTACATCATTTTTGACACCCCTCCTGAGCTTTTTTTTCTTGCAGTAACAGATGTCTAATACTGCCCCAGATCTCTCTTGTCCTCTCATTTCCATGCTGTTTACTTCCTTTTGCTGAACATGCTCCTCACTTGATTTCTAAATATCCCATTAATTCATTCAGCTCCCTTTTTCTCTTCAGGCATGGTGAGCACTCTTACATGCAATAAGGGACTGTAACTGCATATGTCCACCGGTTTGCATCCTTTAAAATCCCTCCATTCATTTCTTGTCTCATCATGCAGAACTATAAACACGACGGCTGTAAATGAGCTGCAGTATTGGAGAGTCGTAGTCATTGTGAGTGCCCAGAGCAACCTCCACTGAAGCCCACACAGGCATGAGAAGGTGTTCGGTCCTCCACTGCCTTACCATCAAGTGTTTGGAAACAAGGCAAAGAGGTTTGTTGGTGGGCAGCTTAGGAGGCTGGATGCGAGACCTATGAAGATACAGTGCCAATACAGTAATAACGGCAACAAAAGATTAATGAAGGACTTAATGTGTGGTTTTTTGGACGAAGATTATACAGCCCTTCAGCCTCCTCATGCCATTATGAACCAATTATATATGGTTAGATGCATGATGTCACTCCTTGTGGGCGGAGCTGCATCTCATAATTCACTGAGGAAGATGCTTTAGGGTGTAATGGGAAAACTTCAAACGCAAACCCCCATTTTATCCAAATGATCCTGACACCTTTGCAGTCTTCAGCAGTTATACCGTCTTGCTTCTGAAATTCAAATAACACACTGATAAAGCCAGTCCCCAGTACACAAGCTCCGAGCTGCTTTGCCTTCCTCTGCAAGGTTTTTGTCCCTGCTTTATGCATGTTAAAGAGCTTTCTTTGCATTGCCTGTGACAGACGTCTAAATGAAAAGGCAATGAATTTGATGTGAAAATTTGTTCCTCACCACATCACCGCCAACCGCACAGGGACTCACTCTCAGTTCCCATTCGGCTCGGCCGTGACTCACGAGGGTGCTAAAAAGGCCCATTGTTCCTGTAATAAGAAGCCATTTTTCACATTGGACCTTGGAAGGCCACCGACAGCATTTCATTGCATTGACTTTGTTTAGCTGCCGCATTCGTTTTTTTCTTATTTCAGGGTTGAAAACATTCACCCTTTATCCGCAGTGTTCTTGACGAGGTAAAACCCTCTGAATGAATTTACAGCTCTTCACTGTGTGGAGCTGACAGCTTATATTCTCATAAAGTTAGAGCACTGCGTCCTCATAAAGCCCTCCCTATCTCTCCATGTTCTGAGCTAGAGGAAGGAGAAGTTGTGCACCTAAATTTAATACTTCAGGTTTACTTTCAGCCCTAAGTATGAGCAATAGTAATAGAGATGCTTGCCTTAGCAAGCACCACTAATAAGAGATGTAGCCTTGAAGCATGTTGCATTTTTTAAAAAGCCTTAGCTGGCCCTATGAACATTCATTAATTTGTAAACAAGATTACCCATTTAAAATTTAAAGTCCCAGTAGTCTCTCAGTAAATACACCAGACCGTAGAAACCCTGCAGCACACCGTACAGACAAGACCATCATTAATTTTGGGGGATGTTTATAGTGTTTAGGGAATGAAAGAGGGGCTGCAATCTGTGTTGGGTGATGTGGCGTCCCAAAACCACATTTGCATAGTGACTTCATATGTTTAGTGCTCCCAGTTAGCTGTGCAGAAGCAATTTTACAAATGAATGAAGCCTTAAAGTGCACTCTCTCAATGCATGGCCATCTGCAAACTCATGAATGAGAATGAGGATGCAAACTCATTCTGATTCTGATTCTGATCTGTTGGCATAGCAGATGTGGATAGTCTTGCACTCCGAAAATAAAAGGGCTGCCAGTTTCCCTCTCTTACATGGCATCTAAAGTTGAGTATTCCTGTCCGTTTTCTCCATTTTGGACTCTACTTAAGGAAGCTACTTTGAAACAATAGCTTGCCAAGTTAGAAGTTCATAAATTATAGTTCAGCTACCCTTTGTGATATTTATCTGGCACAAACAAATGAGGATATTGGTTAAGGTTACAGCTGCAAATTGATTATGCCATGTTAATTATATCACTTATCAAAATCTTATTTGTCGATATTGTGCATTTAATTTGTCACTAATTTTTAGCAAATCTTAAACTGAATATTGATTTTGTTGTGATGAATAAATAAATGTGTAGCATTTAAAATGATTGACTTTGGCACTGGAAGACCCACTTTGTTTATTTGTTGTTTTTTCCATTAAATTGAACAGAAAATAAACTGGACTTCCCAACACAATTTTGGAGAGAGATGAGTGATTTGGATAATTGCTCAGTCACCTTGCTCAGTTGTTACTGGTGTAAATAATCTAGTAGCAATGCTATTTTTAGTTACTTCCGAACACCTTGTTTCCTAATGTGAGTATTATAGGAGAACGCTGAGCCAAACTGCATGTGTGTAAAATTGACAAGGAGGGGAAGAGATCTTTAAAGCATTTGGGGATGTATCCTTGGCCTTCCCGGAGAGATGAGTTGGGACCCATGGGAGCCTTCATCTTCTGACCCCCCAGAGGATGCAAACTGCTTAAGGCCTTACAGACTGACTGCAGAGATAGCTTTCAAGGCTGCCTCTAGATAGCTTCAGGTAAGCAGCTAAACATAGGTAATATGACACGAGGACAAAGATCACATTCCTGGCACTGCACTAAGAGGAAGTGGTGGTCTTGGCATTTTCAGTAGTGGGAAGGTATGTTTGCTTCTCAATTGTGGTGCACATGACCAGATTGTCTTTGAAGCAGCGGGCAGCTTTCAGCAAGTTGGACAGTGGTTGTCTTCAAGAGAGCCTGTGGTGGTCTGATCCACTCTTGAAAGCTTTGTTAGCTTGGACAGAGCTCTTCAGGAACTGTCCAAACAACAACTTTGCAGCAGCTAAGACTTCTTATTCCGAGTTCTGTTCTGGTTCCTCAAGTCTTGACTTGAAAGAATGCTTCCCGTGAAAGAGTTATTCTTACTTTCAAGACTTGACTTTCACTTTGAAGTGCTTTTCCCTGGGCCCTAGTCTCCAGCAACCCAATCAGGCACCTCGGTAATGTCCTTGTAATGAGCAAAATATACTACAGATGAATCGATTTTGTGGCAATGAGGAGGTCTTGGAAAGAAAGAGCATGTCCAGAGATGGGAGGAACAGGAGCCTGGCACCTATAGCTGATTGCATCCCCATGCTGCGCATGGATCACAGTACAGCATCTCATCAGTGCAGTGTGAAATGTAATCAGTGCAGCTCCCCACTAGGACTCTTTACGCCTGTGTGTCGGAGAATGGTTTAAAGATGCTGATGGAAATTGATTTAATGTATAGGGTGGGAAAACAAGCAGAACTAAGCTGTGCCTACACCCTGACATAGAACCAAAGCTTGAGAGTCAAGATTGGGTAAGATTGATTGAAACACATGGTTTGCTTGAAAGTTATACTTTTAGCACATCACTGGCTGCACCACAAATGACATTCTTCGTGTGGACCCTGCCACCTTCTACACTTGTCGTGAAGATTGCAGGGTGTCCTGTTTGATATCTTTTGGTTCTGAAGAGTGCCTAGTTTGCAGCTTCACTCTTGAGGTGCTGGCATTTCAAGTATGAACTTGAAAAAGGACTTCAAGGACTGAGGGTGTCATTTGGGACTGTGTCATTAAAGACTACAAACTCTGTTCTCCGAAAGCAACTTCCTTTGGCCTCGTCCTCTGATTTGCACCTGCCTTGGTGTTTAATACCAGAGCTTTGCCCAGTTGGCAGTGTACATGCTTGGAAAACACCATCAGACCTCATTAGTCAAAGTGAACACATGTCAGGCAGGGAGACTCAGTCCAATCTTCACCTGTGTGTTAGTTTTTTTTTGTTATTTAACACAGTGCTCTATCAGCTGCTGTCTGTCTTACCTCTTTTCTTTCCTGTGTGTATGCAGTTCAAAGTCGACGGGAAGTGGTGGACGTGGATTGACTACGAACGCTTCCAGGAGCTCATTCAGGAATACGAGGAGAGCGGGGGCACCAAGAGCTTCTCAGCGATGGACTATATGTCCAAGACCCCCAGCTGGGCCATTTTTGGGGCCGGAGAGAGGGGATTTGACCCCTTGGACACACGCTTCCAGAGAAAGAATAAGACCAAAGATATCTCAGGGTGCTGATGTTACTTTTGCTTTCCTACTTTAAGTCTGTAGGGGAATTTGTATTTTTAATAAATGGAATAGATGACCTGATTGACAGCACCCGTAGATTAAGACTTTTCTTTTTATTATTTAAGCCAAGGCTCAGATTGCTCTCCAAGACTTGCCTTAGGGATGAAATTCTGGTTAGCATATACTTGCAGATACTTGGTAACTCTTTTTTTTCCCCCTTTTTTTTTCATGCATCTTTTAATGAATGTTAGCTGCTGTTTTTAGTTATGATCACAGTAATAAAGAATTTCATTCCCAAGTCCTGTTCACTCTGAGCTCTGGATCTAATAGCTCTGGTAAGAAAACCATCAGGTGGACAGACCGGAAGAACAAGTGACTTGAATTTAAGGCTTCATTTACTCATACCACCTTAGGGCCTAAATTTAGAGTGCACAAGAGGAAAGAACTGCAAAAGAAAAATATCACTATAGTTAGCAACGTTAATAACATGTCACCTCAAACTGTGATTTGTGCGTTCTTTTAGACGTTTAGAGGGCAGTTGAGTCAGATGGGACTTTGAATGGAGCAGTTCTTATGGATTGGCCCATGATACAGCTGAAAGCTATTTGGAATCAGAACTGCCCCATAAATATCTCTGTAACAACCACTCAAGACATTGGAATGTGAAATTGCAGTTCTTACCTTTTGCATTGTCTTTTTGTTTTTTGTCTTGGGTATTTCTACACAATGTTGACGGATTACATCAAGTCAAATGTCACTACAGGTTTTTGTTTGTATTTTATCATTCTTTGCCTTTTTTTGTTTTGCAAAATGTTGTAATGCAGTTATGAACCTGATGTTTGTCCTTTATTGGGTTACACTGATATTGTGAATACACCCAAAAGGTATCTCCAAACTGCATTTGTTATTCATGCACATGCAGGTGCGTTGCAAATGAAATTGAGTTTTGTAGTAGCTGCTTTCTTGGCGTCTTATTAAAACTGTCTTTATGGTGTTCTACAGAAGTTTGAATGTTATTGTAAGAGATGGGAATGTGCTTGATGCTGAATGAACTAGGTCACAGCCGTTTCACAGTTCTGCGACTGAATGAAGCGGTCTTGAGTGACGGATGAGAGGCGTAATATTAAGACCAGACAGAGTTCCCCGTTTTCTGTCATTCTGTTCGAAGTAAAGAGTCAACTGGTAATGCTACGTTCATCTGAAGTCAAATTGGGACATTCTTACTTTATTTGCACTTATTTGCTCCGTTATATAAATGTGCAAGTATTTTTTTCTCAGCTCCACACTTTTATGACACTTTGATGTAATGCATGGCTAACACTAGCTGCAATTCTATTCTTTAAGTTCACAATGACTTCTACTGTCTGGATTCTGACAAGTTAGCAAAAGTTGGTGTCCACTGAGAGCACTTGCAGCTGAAAGTTCACCGGATTTATCGGAATGTTTAAACTACAGCCTTTAAAGTGCCTTGTCTCCTAGTTGTTTAAACATAACAGAAACAGAGAGATGTGTAATGGTCTGTGACAAGTGACAGAAAAGCTATTTCACACTGCTGTGAAAAGGTGCCGCGCTGATCTAGGCTAATGTGATACAGTATCTTCCTTGTGCATTTCAGTCAATTTAGCCACCCGAAGGGACTACCCAAACACACTCTTTTTGTAGTCCATGAGGGCATTTTAATCTGAATTTAATTGGGTTATTTCTGTGAAGTTGTCTGTTGACTTTTGCAACATCATATATAAAATGTTTTGATTTGGATGCTTTTACCTTTGACAGGTAGTAATGCCATGAAAATATGTACATTTTTGACAAGTCAGGTTCACAGAGTGAAGGACTGGACTGTTACCGCTTCTTACTGTACATCAGGTAATGTCCTATGTGTTTAATTTTTTTATATTGTCCTATGTTGGAAGTGCTTTTTACGTTTCGTTTAAAGGCAATGTTTAAAGAAGAGCATATTCTTTTCAGTATACATATACCGTATACTGTGTGCTGTTTGGATATAGTACACATTTTTCTTGTGGAAATGACCCTTCGCAGGGAGCTTGATTGACGGGTGATCTGACCAATAATGCCGAATTCGCCATTTTGTCCAACAAAAACAAATCAGACTGGAGAGTAGATTAGCATCTCACATTTACACAACGTGCGCAAATTGGTGGGAAGGGCTAAACAGGCAGCTATGTAGAAGCAGGCATTGTTCTTCTGCGGAGGCGGTGTTTATCCACACTATTATACATCATAGAGTGGTACATTCCACAAGCTGTAGTTTTGGCAGACTGGCTTCAGTATAGGCAGTTTTTAGACTAACGAGAAAGTTTTGAGTTCTGAAAGTTACGGGATGTTTTTATAGTACAATGACCTCTTATACGCCAAAAGGGAATTTTGGTTTCTCAGTTCATGACCCCTTTAAGTAAATATGAAAAGACGATCGGTTCACGTGCCGCTTGAACTGAGGAGCTGCAGTGATCTGTCACAAGTCTGTCACAGTTAAAGAGCCACAAAGCGGTATTTATTGTTTGAATTTCTTAAAAAAAAAAAAAAAAGACCACTTAAAAGATAAGATTTTGTTTCATACTAGAAGTAGCGTGCTCTGTCTTGTCTGTCGGCGCTTTGTCAGTTTCCTTTTTGATCCGCAATGTATTTTTAACTGCATGAGGTCATGATGTGTGGCGTGAGAGCACCATGTCTTGACAGACATAGCAACAGTAAGTAGGGGGCGGGTCTTTGTGGATGGTCAAATTGTATATGGTGGAATTTGGAATTATTCAAGTACATGTTCTTTCTAATGTGCCTAAACAAATGTTTAATTTCTCACAGTGTCTATCTCAGCCTCTATTACTAATGGATTTCCCCATCATGAGTTCTCTCGGCTATGCCACCCTAAACCTCAGTCCCTCGAATGGGTTTCACAGAGCGAGGGATAAGAGACAAGCTGTACTGGAACAGCATGAGCCTCCAGTCTCATTACCTCAGTCTCCGCTTCTGTTTTAAGCCTCCAGTCCTACTGTCCACTGAACGTTTTTAAGAATTCTTCGTGCAAGGCGAGGGAAAAAAAAAAAAAAAAATATAAATATATATATAAATATATAAATATAAATATGTTCAATTAATTACATACATACATACATGCATACATACACACACACACACACACACACAGACAGTAGGCATATTTTTACTAGCAAGAGCAGAGAAAATGGCCTTAAGCTGACATTGTGTTTTGATGTGTTGTCATAACAAGTGGATTGACTGACAACTCAATTGACAGCTCAAAGGCACATGGAAGATCTGAGACACAAATTCAAGGGCTTTGTGGCCCTTTCATCAGATTCAGATTTAGATTTTCATCAACATTTTGCCTTGTCAATGGAACTTGTTTTCAAGTAAAAATGTTTCATAGGATGTGCCACAGCTTCGATTGTCTCACAGACGTGCACACTAAATGTCTTGCACTTCAACAACCGGGACCTTTTTGGTTCCAGAATAGTCAGACATTTAAAAGATAAAAGAACAAGAAGTAGTGTTTTTTTAAAGGCTTTTACTTGTTTTAGTCAGTCCTTGTCCTTTGTCTTTTTCCTTGAATACGGGAAAGAAATATTGTCTAATTCATCATGTAACTATATAATATCCCAACCATGATCTACCTTTAGTTTATTTTTTCATTTGTCTGTCCCGACAGTATTTTAAATGTTTGGTGCATTCCTGAATTTTTTACAATCATATTTTCTTCAACAGTATGTTTAATTATCTTACGGAAAAAAAAAAACACTGAACAAACTCTGGGGGGGAAAAAAGAGCCAATGTTTAACATGGTTACACACCATTACCATCATTGATTTCGTCGACTAGACAAGCTTGTCTTGTAGTGATAGTTAATGGTTGGGTCTATGGATTGGACTGTTTGACAGGTACAGTGGGTACGGAAAGTATTCAGACCCCCTTAAATTTTTCAGTCTTTGTTATATTACAGCCCAGGACCAACAAAAGATGCTGATCCAGGAACATGTCCTACTTGGCAGAATCACGGCCAACACTGCTGCTTCTCTACCTTTCTCTGAATCCAACACTAACCCACTGCCTTAACAACCGAGGTGGTCAGGAGCCAATGGCAGCTCTGTTTTGTGGCTGAGAGGCACAAAACTCTGGGCTTCTTGTCAAACAGACAGATTTTGTTGGAGCTGGAGCCAAACTGAGCTGTCCTCTGCCAAAAAGGAAGTTGCTTAAAATGACAGCAACAGCTCTCAAAGCTCTCACCTACTACAGATTTGCTCTGAGACGCAAAGTGGAGACCCTAACAGAATATGCTTCTGTTCGCTATCTTACAGAATATTAAAGGGGTCATATGATGCAATTTCAAGTTTTCCTTTCTCTTTGGAGTGTTACAAGCTGTTTGTGCATAGATAAGATCCCTAAAATTGCAAAGACTAAAGTCTCAAACCTAAAGAGATATTCTTTAAAAAAGTTAAGACTCATCCACGCACTCCTAATACACCTCGTTTAAACATATCTACGTCATGATGTGGGAAAATTTGCATAACACCGCCCAAATGTTCACGCAAAGAAAGAAGGCATAACTTTTATTCTTGTTGTAGTAGTGTTGCCACTGCCACCATGTCGTGGAGACGCTGTGTGTTTCGTTGTGAAAGCGAAACTACTTTGTTTGGCCTTCCAAAAGAGGACACGACTAGAAATCAGAGGTTAAGTTGCATTTACAACACTGTTCCAGAACAGTTCAACCCAAATATTCAGATGTGTGCAGCGCATTTTACGGAGGACTGCTTCCTGAACCTGGGAGAGTAGACTACAATGCTGTGCACAAAGGTTGTTTCTATAAAGTGGGGCAATTCCAACTTTGCAAGGACAGTCTGGCACTTCTGATTCACAGCCTGTAAGTACGTTTTTTTATATTTAAAGAATTTGCCACTGACGATTCAAACGTGAGTTATGAGCAGTGTAGAGTAGCGCTTGTTTGTCGTTTCTCCGATCACAAATGCAGACATGGTTTGCTTACGCGGCGCGATACGCAAATAAAAATACAGTATAAGTCATTATAATCCGTAATTATGTCCCCACTGGATGCAACAAATACCTCGTTTATAATGGATTTGATTGGTTTTGTCTCATCGTGCCGGGACACGGAATCACAGTAAGTTAAGGGGCGTAAAATTTCCGTCACACGCTTGAGGTATTCGGCCAATCACAATGCACTGGATAGCTGGCCAATCACAGCACACCTCACTTTTCAGACCGATAGACTGTAAAAATCGACGCGTTTCAGAAAGGCGGGGCATAGAGGAGAAACAATACAGTATGTGGAAAATAATGTGTTTTTTGAACCTTAAACCGCATAAACACATTTCATTACACCAAATACACAAAATAATGTTCTTTTTAGCAACATCATATGACCCCTTTAAATTCATCTTCATAATTGCTGCTTTTAAAGGGATAGCTCTCCCAAAAATGAAAATTACCCTATAATTTACTCCCCTTCAAACCATCTTAGGTGTATATGGCTTTCTTCTTTCAGACGAATACAACCTGAGTTATATTAATAAAAAATGTCCTGGCTCTTCCAAACTTTATAATGGCAGTCAATGGGGGTCAAGATTTTGAAGCCCAAAAAAGTGCATCCAAAGAAGGCCTTCATTAACCTCCCGGAGCTGTATGGAATACTCTTTATGATGGATGGATGCACATTTTTGGTCTTCAAAATCTCTTGCTTAAAGCTTGCTTAAAGCCTGGCTCTTGCTTAGATGAACTATCCCTTTAATTCTCTTTGTTTGCTTTCTGTAAGAGCAACATCAATAATTCTAGGAGAATCATCTCTACTAATTCCCTTATTAACTGATGTGAGTCAATTAACTTCACGGCTGCAAGGAACGCAGTTTTGTCTGGCATATGGATGTTTCTTTGCTGAAAGATTTGCATTTTAATTAAAAATCAACTTAATATATTTATCACACGAAGTGAATAACAATGTATTCCACATATAGCACATAATAAAAATACAGTATAAGTCATTATAATCCGTAATTATGTCCCCACTGGATGCAACAAATACCTCGTTTATAATGGATTTGATTGGTTTTGTCTCATCGTGCCGGGACACGGAATCACAGTAAGTTAAGGGGCG